ATTCGTAACATTAGTAAACAAAATGATAGAATAATAGGGTATATGCCTAATTTTTATTTTAATGTCCGTCTGGTAGGTTATTTTAAATCATTGGACACGTAATTTTTATTTTCCTACAGAAACGAATACTGCTGACGATATATTGATTTGAACTGTTGCGTGACGTCACTTCTTCTTTACGTCAAATGTACATACATTTTATACGTAGAAATGACGTTTTAGCCCCCACTCCTAAACTTTGATTCGTTTCATCCAAGTATTATTTTATTATACAACAAAATAAAAAAAATACGTGTCTAATATTTTTTCATTACCTAACTTACGGACCAAATAGATTTTTAATTTTCATGTCCGGGCATCATCCCTATTATTATTTTTAGTATCTGCTAATAATATTATCTATTTTATCTGGCTATCTGGTGATTTTTTGGTGTTTCATTTCAGGCATTCGGAAAGAAACTGCCTTTAATCCTATGGACCAGCACATTGACAGACTACAAAACTATCGACCAGTATCTAGACAATGAAGACTACATTATTCAGGTTTGTTGAATTAGTCAAATACCTTTGGAGTCATTGGCTGAGGATCAGAGATTTGGTGATAAAGGATGGAAAATTAGGGATCGGGATTGGGAATTTTAGTGCTTGGAGATGTAGGGGAGTTGTGGGCTTCCGATAACCTCAGTCATTCGGCAATTTGACATTGAAAATCCTCAACTTTGGCAACACTTTGAAGATGTCTTCTTCTTTGAAAATATGTATTTGAGAGCTGTATTCAAAGCCTGTCTTCATTATCATGCATACTTTATCGATGAATTTATTACGATTGCCAAGCATTCTGCCAAGTGATGAGGAGAATGTAACTGTGTGGGTTTTTGACCTTCAAGTGATTAGTGGATGTCCTTGGTTCCAGGTGTGGACAACTGGAGTGGACCCTCAGGTTAAAGGACTTCTGAAGAAGGGCTACCGACTCATCATGTCCAACTACGACGCTTTGTACTTTGATTGCGGATTTGGAGCCTGGGTTGGCCAAGGTAATTACCATTGCTTTATGTTTATATGTAGATACTTCTAGAGAATACTATCTTAATTATGATATAGGTCATTATTATTAATGCGAAAGTTTGTAGGTTAGGTTAACCTATGTTTGTTAAACAATCACGTTAGAATATTGAAGGGATCAGCATGGAATTTGGAACATGGATAGATTGTGGTGTGGAATAACACATAGACATGTGATTTTTATCCAAATGTAACGTGTGCGAAGACGCTGGCAGGCTTTTGCCAGCGTCTTACTTTTACATACCTAATGATAAACATACATACATACCTACATAACTTCACGCCTGTCTCCCATGGGGGTAGGCAGAGAAAGAGAGAGAAAGAAAGAAAGTAACTGGCGTTCCTACATACCTCTTTCGCTTCATCAATAGTCTTTTCATGCATGCTCGTCGGTTAATACTTTTAATTTGTACCTAATTAATGATATAATGATAAACAACATAAGTAAATTATCAAATACATACTATAATAAATAGTACAGACTATTTATTATATTTTATTACCTACACAGGTAGGTAATGTTTTTTGTTCAGCTGGTTTCGTATATTTTAGAAATATTTAGGGAATATTTGATGGATTGCTGATTTAGATTTTCCTATAAAATTAGCCACATTTGCATCGCAATGTACCAATGAATGACCATAATACTCCATATATGAATCGCAAATGGTCATGGGCGGTGCCGATCACCTACCATAATAATATGAAAATAATTAATCTGTTTTACCATTCTACCCCAGGTAACAACTGGTGTTCCCCATATATCGGCTGGCAAAAGGTATACGATAACAGTCCAGCTGCAATCGCTGGAGAACACAAGCATTTGATTCTTGGTGAGTTCAGCTAATATTATCTAGTCTGTATTTTCTAGTTCAATTAATGATATGTTTTTCTTGGCTTGAAAAGTAGGTTTACCGAGTACCTACTTATGAATACCTACATGGAGAAATTATGTAGGTACCTAGGTGTTCATGATGTAGTTAACTATTGTGTAGGTCGTGGCTTATATCTGGGACTGGGTTTGGAAATCGCTACGCCACTACTTAAGTACTTATTGAGAATTTTCGAAGCCCAAGAATGCTTTGCCTACTCGAGATACCGTACATGTGACCACACGCCACACGACAAATGTGAAAATTATATACTAATGACTAATATATAAAACTGAAGGATTTGTTTGTTTGTTTGGACGTGCTAATCTTAAGAACTATTATTACTGGTTCAATTTGAAAAAATATTTTTGTGTTGGGTAGTCCATATATCAAGGAGAGCTACATATAGGCTATAGAACACCGCGCATCATTAGCAACAGATCAACGGGTAAAACTGGCGGAGTAGGTAATGTGATGACGTTGGTGTGCAGGCGGCGAGGCGGCGCTGTGGTCGGAGCAGTCGGACTCGGCGACGCTGGAGTCCCGGCTGTGGCCGCGCGCCGCCGCGCTGGCCGAGCGGCTGTGGGCCGAGCCCGCCGCCTCCTGGAGGGACGCCGAGCATCGCATGCTGCACATACGGTCAGTAACTCTAAACTCTGTATCACGATTTTTGAATATAGGCTGCAAAGCAATAAAGCTTAACTGACTCCAGTGTCAGTTTACTACCAGACAGGCAGTATTGGCTATGTGCGCGACGGTAGCGACGCGTAGCGTTTACGACATTTGCGGGAGCTGTCAAATAATAACAATGTAAACATTATAATTTTTTTTGCTAATATAAATAAAACCAAAGATATCCCTAAGCAGTCACCGGTGACCACTCTCCACAAACTACATTATAGACCTTATTTCCAATGTTTAGAGACAACTTTTGTATGAACAAATTTAGGGGATGAATTTCAATGGGTTAAAAATAGTATTGTTGACATTATTTAAGTGCAATTTATTCAATAGTTTTACTGTAAAATGCATATATTAATAAAAACCGGGTTTGCATCATCCGCATTTGTTTCCAATTTCTGTCGTGTTGTGCGCTGCGGTCGTTATCTGTCTGCCACTACTCGCTTTGCACATAGCCAATAAGCTTTGTTATTAGTGTTAGCCAACAGTACTGAAAATACACTTAGTATGTATATTTTATATTTGCCTACCTTCAGGGTTTAACCTAACGGGTTTCCCGGCGCTCGACGTGCAGGAGAAGGAATGGGGTGGTTTTTAGTCAGTAAGAGTCTAACACTTCCTCCTGCCTCACCCAGGCGGGAGCAGTAATTAGATGATTTTGCCCCCTTAAAATAAAAACCCTCTGTGGCTAGGCCTCGCTGCCACTAACCAAGTCACGCTACTTTTAGTATAGTAAATTAAGAATCATTACCTTTTTACTAATTTTACAATTTTTATGAACTAAAACTTTTTTCTACAGAGAACGTTTAGTCCGCATGGGTATCCAGGCGGACTCGTTGGAGCCGGAATGGTGTTACCAGAACGAGGGCGACTGCTACGCGTGACGTAATAATACATCGTTGTGACTTGTGATATCACAATGTCTGTCACAATTCTATTTATCTAGTACTTGGCATAATAACAGCTGTGGTCACGTACGGATACGCAACAATTTCATTAGACAATTTTTGGTAATAATAGGATAGATGCCTAATTTTTATTTTAATGTCCGTCTGGTAGATTATTTTAAATCATTAGACACGTATTTTTTATTATCTTACGGTAACGAATACTTTCGACGATATATTGATTTGAAATGTCTCGTGACGTCACTGCTCTGTAGGTAGGTACATTTTATACGTAGAATTGACGTTTTAGCCCCCACTCCGAAACTTTGATTCGTTTTATCTAAGTATTGTTTTATTTATTATACGACAAAATAAAAAAATACGTGTCTAATATTTTTTCATTACCTAACTTACGGACTAATTAGTTTTTTCATACCCTGTCATCATCCCAATTGTCAATAAGTATTTCAATGCCTCGCTTTCCGTTCTAAACGGTGCTCGAGACCCCTTTTTTTGAGAACTTGGAACTAACACAGTGGTTGTCATTATTTAGAATGTGCATTACTGCTCACTCCTAGGGGGGATGTAAGACGTTAAGTTAATAAAAAAGGAAAGTGATGCTTTTCATCAGTTTTAGAATTTCTAAGGAGTTTTTAATCATGTTAGCATTCCATTGATAACATAATCTGTGTCATTACACGTTGCCTTATGAATGTAGGTACCTATTTTTATAAAGTAGGTATAATTGTTAGGCTTAAAAGTCAACAAACATTAACAAAATTGTCCCTAAGGGACATTAAATAAATACTCTTTTGTATCATGTTACCAAATAAGAAATTGTCTAGTGAAACGCGGCTTATCTCTGTCGTCCGTGCGACGAGGTAGCTTGAATCACTGTGATCGACTCATTTACACATACTTAGGTTAACGTAACGTCTCGTAATATTTTAAAACGAACGTGTTTATATCAGTAACAATAAGTACGATTATAATATTAAGTATACCTAATAATTGTAATGACTTTACAATACTTTTCTTTGAAATAAAACATTTTGAATGTGTGTTGTGTCTTTTTTTTCTGGGCGTAACCTGTGTTTAGAGAGATAAGGTGAGTAGGTACATACGTAAATACATAGATAGGGACAATAATGAAATCTAATTCTAGTCTAGTGGGTTCGATCTGTTCGATAGTAGTGATATTTGTATTAGAGTTCCAAAATGCTAAATACTTACTGGATTTTTAATTTTTAGTTTCTGTAATTATTGACAGGGGGCTATAAATAGATTACTGTAGAGTCTACAGTTAATCAGGCAAGCCTAATTTTACATTCTACAGTGTACATTGTAAAATTAGACCTGTTCACTTTGTCCACAATTTTATGGAATACCTACACTGTCTTCTCTATGTGGGAGTTATCCTCGAAACTGGAGAGATATTAGTAGTTTACCTACCTATAGGTAAACTACAAATATGAAATGAAACAACAAGAACATGATCGCAATATTTATTACCAACCATCTAAATAGATCAAATCAACCACTTGTCCACATTCTACCGAGACCAAGAAAACCAATGCTGCTAGTTCCACTATTATAGTTCACTGCACCAATACCACTTGTTGGTACCACGCCTTCTAAACCAACTGTTCCTTGAAAGGGGAGTCTCCCTGTCACTAGAACAACACCGTCAATGAGCAGATTGTCGGAAAATATCGCCACTCCCGCTGGTCCAATGGCTGAGTAGGGGGCCGAGGTGTCTATGATCAGGTTTCCACCAATAACACGACCATACATCGGTGCGACTGGAGCTACATTTGCCACATTCCAACCTTCAACTATTGGCATGTTTGCACACACCGGTTCACGAAGATATGCAGGAGGGATGCACGCACAGAAGACCGCCTGTAGAAATAAATTAGCACTGAAATACAAGACTGATTAATAATTCAGTTTTATGGATATAATTCTTACCTCAAAGAATATGGTCTGAATGCAGACGAAAATTATTACTTTCAACGACATCGCCCCCTATTTTATAGAACTTTAATATAATAATGTTTAACGAGTTACGTGAGTTTGTGTTTTATAGCTGTGAACTTATCAATCAGTATAACATCGGTTGCATAATTTTATTTTTGTAATTATGTAGGCATTTATTTGTAGTACTTAAGTAGGCATTGCGTGATTAGAAATTGCAAAACCTAGATACCTATTGCCTTTTGTATTGATAATACTACTTACAATGATTTAATAGACTACCATGATTATGAAGATATTGTTTATCTAATTCAAGCTTGGTGCATATACATTTAATTTAGAGCATGCTAGTGCGGACTTCGGGTAACGCTTGCTCGAGTTATCTGCGTGATTTGCTAGGTCTTCAAATTGACTATAAGAAAATTGAATCAAAACTAAGGTGCGCTCAGGTATAACTGGTTCAAACATTTTTTTTATATAAATTGCAAGTGATGAAATGAATGTTGAAATGTCGTAATTTGCGAGTAAAGGAACGTAGTTTTTGGTGGGTGCTGTGAGCTGTCAAAGTGTCAATGGTCGCCAGTTGTCAGTCAGTTTTATTTACCTTCTTTCACTACGATTTGTTTTTCACAATAAAAATTAGCAATATCTCACGTTAATTCTTATTCGAATAACTTAAAAACATGAGTTGTTTCGAGAATATGACTATGCCTAGTTGTGTGTGGTTTGAAAGCGGAGAGAAGCGCAATATCGTGGCATCTATAATATCAGGACTTTTGGTTTGTATTTGATGAATCATGCTATATTTCTATTCATTACACTTAGAAGGACGTATAAACTGCAGATATTGGTCATTTAAATGTATTTTCAGGCTGTATTTAGCATCATTCGTTTATAATCTTGTACAATGTTTAGTGTCTGTTGTGAAACTTCGACGAGCTCAGCAATACATGATTCTGAGTATTATATTACGTATAAATTACATTCCCAATGAATATTAAACAATAGAAATGTTCATGGTTACATTATTTATTTCTAATTATGTTATTTTCTCCAGTTCTTTACAGGATGGTGGTTTATCATAGATGCTGCGACAGTGTACCCTGGGAACCTGCCTAATGCATCTCATGTGTGTGGTGTTATGGCTACCCTGTCACTCATCATGGTCAACTCCGTGTCTAATGCACAGGTCAGTGACATCACATAAGATGGAGGATAAGTTTTTGATAGTGTATTAAGTTCGAACAAAGGGAAAGTAGGTAAAATAGTATGTATTAAAATAATATCTAATAGAAGGCTATAGATAAGCCATAAAACATCATGCTACAAACAATAGGAGGAAGAGAAAAAATGTAGTTTTTGTTTATATTATGAATTTGAAATTATTACTCATATAGGACTTCCACTAGACTTATAGAAAACTAGCTTCTTCTACGCGGTTTCACACGCTCTGGTCAGCTCCTATTGGTCATAGCGTGATGTTTTATGGCTTATAGCCATTCTCGATAAATGCGCTATCCAACACAAAAAGAATTATTCAAATCAGACTTGTAGTTACTGAGATTAAACAAAAAAACAAATTCTTCCACTTTATAATAGTATAAGATGACCAGCGAAAAGTGTTTTATACATTTATCAGGTAACTACTTTGAGTAGTTATGCCATGTCAAGTTATGGATTTGAATATAATAGCATGGTACAGAATTCTTCAATAGTCATTGTTATCAAAATTTTAAACAAAGGAGTCCATTGAGTATTATCTAAATCGGAATTTAATCACAAGTTTTATTGCTTTCATTCTGCCAATGATAATTTTTTTTGGATAATTATTTTATCGTCTTGTTTGTGAATGTCCTGTCTACTTATGCTTTTGAAAAACAGACCTAAGAGATAACTTACTCTGTTTGAAATTGTAATGTAATTAATAATAAGGTAATTAATAATTGTTAGCTGCAAGAAAGTGTAGATAAATGATGAGATTTGTATAAGGTGTTCAAATTATAAAGGCATCAATCAATTTATATTAATATTTTTTTAATAGTTTTTATGATTTATTAGTTGTGTTGTTGTATAGTAATATATTATAGCGTTTGTACTGTAATGATAATATTTATAATCTATGTATTTCCAGGTGCGTGGTGAGACATACACGGGAGGTTGCATGGGGCCTCGCGGTGCCCGTCTCTGGCTCTTCCTTGGCTTTGTCGTCGGCTTCGCGTCCCTCATTGCTGCCTGCTGGATACTGTTTGCGAACTATGTTAATGCTGGTATGTTTCTTTGGATATTGTGAATTTAAAATATCTTTGTAATACCTGCTG